CAGGGCCACCATCTCCCTATGGCCATCACCTCTCCATGGCCACCATTTTCCCATAGCTATCACCTCCTTGTGGCCATCACTTCCTCATGGCCATCACCTCCCCATGACCACCAAGTCCCCATCACCATCATCTCCCTGTGGCTACCACCTCTCCTTGGCCACCACCTCCCCATGGCCACCATTTCCCTGTGGCCATCACCTCCCTGTGTCCCCAGGACCAGCAGAGTAGACTGTTCTGCAGATCTGCTGGTGTCCATCTGTTGGTTTGTGGCAGCTGGAACAGATTTCAGTGGGAGGAGAATCGTCTGAGAGTTGCTCTTATGGGAATGGGGATGGATGTGGTTGAAAGGGACTGAAGGGCTCTGGCAACTTTCCTCCAGCAGGAAATCCCACAAAGAGAGATGGATCGCATAGAGTCACCTCCTGCCCCTGTGCCAGCGAGGGTCCCTGCGAGAGCTGAGCAGGAGCCTATGCCACAAGGAGAGCAGGTGCTGAGAGGGGGGATGGAGGGGCTGTGCCACACAGCCTTGCAGGGAGAGGAGGGGGAAACACTGTGGTGGTGGTGGGACATGGCTGCACAGCACCTTGAGCCATAGAGGGTGGGCTGGGGGGGTTGATCTCTGCCATGGCAGTACGGCAAGCTGTATGATGTGAGAAAGACTTGGATACATAAGCCATGAGAGTCTGCCCTGAGCTGGCTGCTGAGCTCTGGGTGTGGATGATGCTCTGCTGGTGCTGCGGTGGCTCTGTGGATGCACGCAATGGTGTGGCTGCCCTTGGTTGGGTGCTGTGCAATGAGGAGCTGACTGCAGTGGGTGCTTTGCAGGTAACTTTCCTGTTTTTTTCTCACTCCATGGCAGAAGGCAAAAGAAGAGGAGGAGGAGGAGGAGACAGCACCTGCATTGCCCCCAAGGCAAGCAGATCTGAACAAGGAGGAGGAGCAGCCCATCTACAGCGAGACTTTTGATGGTGGAGACTATGAGGAGCTGCTGGAGCACTCTGACTACTGCGACAGCGTCAGTGCAGGCGCTGACTACGAGGAGCTGCCAGCACCCGTGGCAAAGCCGGGTGCCACCTACAGCCTGGGAGAGGAGGATGAAGGAGGGGACTATGACGAGGTCATTCCCGAGGAGCCCAGCCAGAGCCAGCCCTGCAGGGGTGAGTGTGGGGGAAACAGCCTCGGAGAGTGTCTGTCTGCATCACTGGATGGATGGACAGACCGAGGGGGTTTGGTGTCCTGAAGTCCTGTGGTCAGGTTAGCAGTCCGTGTTGGTTGGGACCTGGCTGCATCCCGGCCCCTCGCCCTGCTCCAAGGCACAAATCAGCAGCATGGGGTGCAGGGTTGGGTAGCAGGTGTCTGCTGAAGGCGAGGGCAGGAGGGCTTCACCTGATGCAGTGTTTCCTTTGAGGAACCACCGGTGGGGCTGCAGGGCTGGCTCTGATAGTTCACAGCTCACAGTGCTCAGAGACCTGAGCTGCTGGTGCCTCCTGGGTGCCAGAGGAGCAGGGAGTATGTGAGCAAATTGCACAAGCGTCTGCTGCTGTTTCCACTGCCACTTTGCTTGGTGAAAAGGAGGAACTGGAGTTCTATCCAGGCTTTGTCTGAAGGAGGATCACGAAGCACCAGGACTGCTGCTCCCTCCTCCTAGCCATGGAAGCAGTGCGTGCTGTGCGCTGAGCCGTGGTGCACCACTCTGTGCCAACAGGGGATGGATGTGGCTCACAGCATAGACAGATGGGCACCAAACAGACTTCCGTGGCTGTCTTCAACTTCTGTCTCATCTACCTGTCCTGTCTTCTGCAGGAGGAATGGACAGCACTTATGAGGTGGAGAGCCCTGGGATCTGTGCGGTGGCCCTCTATGATTACCAAGGAGGTGAGTCTGCCATCCAGGCGGTGCAAAAGGCGGTCACCCTGGCACGGGGGGCCCTGGGAGCTCGGCAGGGGATGGGAGGTGGTGGCTCACAGCAGCTATGGTGAAAGGGTTTGGGCTCGGCTGGTTAAATGTTTTCCTTGTGGAAAGTAAAAGGAGAGCTTGCTTTGGAACCTCTGCTTCATCGTTCACCTGTGAGGTTCCTCTCCTTGCTCCACTCTTCGTGCTGATTGCAGGTGTGGGAGTTGGGTGAGATGAGCTCCGTGACTTGTCAGCCTGCATGGGGAGAAGGAGGGGAGGGATGTAAACCAGTCCATCCCAGCACGGCCACCATCTTCTCTGATCAATCCCTGCAGATGGAGATGATGAGATTTCCTTTGATCCCGATGACACCATCACACACATCGAGATGGTGGATGAAGGCTGGTGGAAAGGGCAGTGCCATGGCAAAGTGGGGCTCTTCCCAGCAAACTACGTGAAGCTCCTGCAGTGAGACCGTGGTCCAACTGCCTTCTCCTGAACCTTCACCTCTCTCTGCTTCAGCCCTTTATGCATTATTAGCTTAATTTGACTCTGCTTGGCATGGCTGCATGCAAGGAATAGCAGTGAACAAACCAGCAGTGTGGGAGGAAATGACCAGGATGTATTCTGATTCCCATCCCATTAAGAAAGGTGGGATGGTTCCAGAACTTATGGGTGTGATATGTGATGCCTTTTCTGTCTGGGTCATCCCACGCATCAACCACAGTGTGTGCAGGAGAACTGTGTCCAATTCTGTTCCAGCAGGGCGATGCTCAGGCAAGGAACACCAACTGTGATGTGCTCAGGGCAGGAGGGAGTGCCATTTGTCACCTCTATTGGTCAGACCTTTATCCCAGGGAGCAGCAATTAGATGAAAGGAGCTCAGGGTGCAATGGGGAGGGTCAGGTTGGAGACTGGGAACAATCTGTGCCCAGCTGCCCAGGGCAGTGGGGAGTCCCCATCCCTGGGGGTGTTCAATGACCACAGGGATGTGGCACTTGGGGACGTGGGCAGTGGGATGGGCTGGAGTTGGATTGGGGTTGCACTGGGGATCTCAGAGGTCTTTTCCAACCTCAGTGATTTTGTGGTTCTACACATAGGGCTCAGTCCAGCAGTTACAGCACTTGGCGTGCTGAAGTCAGCCCACCCATTCCCCCTGCAGAAATAGTTATCTGCAGCTAATTAAGTCACCTGTCAGTAGGAATTAATGAGGAAAGGAGCAAATTGTTCATGCTGGGTGGAGTTCCCTTACCTGATGTGTTCCCATTGCTGGTGCTGTTGGCCAAATCCTGCTTCCCTGGCGTGAGTTGGTTGCATCACTTTGATGTCTACCAAACCTTCAGTTTGGGCAGAGCTCACGGCAGCAGCATCTGTCTATGCCACACTGTGCTCCCCCTATAGCTCAAGCAATAAACTCTTCTATTCTGACCTGCTCATGGCCATGACCCCTTATTTCATGACAGCACGCAGTGCACAGCGAAGAGGGATTTGTTTCTGCAGATAGGAGGGAAAAGCAGAGCGTGTGGGCAGTGGGACCAGAGGAAATGCAGATATCATTTTTAAATTTGTAATGCTTTAAAGCAACATTCAGGTGACAATCCAGTGCAAACCATGCCCTCCCCTAAAGCAGTGTGCTCTGGGCTGGATGCTCACTGCTGCTGCAGGAAATGGTTCTTGGTGTGCAAGTAGTGTGCAAGTCAGTGCCACCACCACCCCTAGGACCAAAGCTCCTGCAAGGAGCTGTGGGAGCTCATCCCAGTGCAGTACCAACCTCCAGTGGCGGGAGGCTGCCATCTCCCAGCACCTACAGCCACACCACTGCTCCACCGAGTTGGGATTTACTGCTGCAAAGCAAAGTGCAGAGCTTTGGTGGCAGCCTGGAGAAACCCAGTGGGCATCAGTTGGTGCCAAAGGCTGTGTGGGAGTGGGCTGTGCCAGTAGAACTTCTGCTGGGGCTGAGTTCTGTGCTCTGTGTTGGTGCCGTGTCCATGGCTTGGTGCTCTGGTCAGCTCCAGGCACTGCTCCCAGCCCTGCTGAGTGCAGCCCATGTCTGGTACTGCAGGAAATTGCCAATTTCAGCATCCTCTGGTAACAATGCTACTGCAGTGGGTCCTGTGCTGAGCTCAGCATGCAATCGTAGAATCAGGTAGGTTTGGGTTGGAAGGGATCTGTCAGACCACCTCGTTCCAACCTGCTGCTGTAGGCTGGGACACCTCCCACCAGCCCAGATTGCTCACAGCCCATCCAGCCTGGCCTTGAATGGCCCTGGGGAAAGGGGCATCCACAGCCTCTCTGGGCAACCTGTGTCAGTGTCTCACTTGCCCTTACAGTTAAGGATTTCTTCCTAAGATCTACACTAAATATCCCCTCTTCCACTTTAAAGCCATTTCCCCTTGTCCTGTTTCTCACCAGCTTTCCTGTAGGATCCTTCAGGTCCTGGCAGGCTGCTATAAGATCCCCCCAGTGCTTTCTCTTCTCCAGGCTGAATATCCCCAGTTCTCTGGGCCAGACCCCATAGGAGAGGTGCTCCAGCCCTCTGATCGTCTTCGTGGCCCTCCTCTGGTCCCTTCCAACCCTGACCATTTTGTGGCAGTATGAATAGCGACTTTATATCCTATAGACTTCAGCTAACACGTCTACCTGAACACAACCCAGACCCTGCAAAGGGTCAGACGTGTGATGGCAGTTATCTGCACAGAAAACTGGTAGGAAGGCAGACAGAAAAAGGATGAAGGATTAGCTTTTACAGGTGTGCTTGTATAAGTAGACACGGAGACAGCTGATTTTTAGTTTAGAAAATGCTTATTGTGAAGTCTGTTGTGAGGTCCTGTAATGGGACAGGTTTTTTTGTAGAATGGAACCATAAGAAGCGGAGTGCGAGACATGATGATCTGGAGATAAATTTCCAAAACTGAATTGAGAAGTTAGACCAAGAAAGCAGGCTGTGCTGACGAAGTCATTTGTTTGGGACTTGGTAGATGACTTGAAGGACTCTATGGAAACTCTTGTAAACGTGAAGTCACAGGATCACAGAACCATAGAATGGCTGGGTTGAAAAGGACCATAATGACCATCCAGTTCCAACTCCCTGCTTTGTGCAGGGTTGCCAACCAGCAGCCCAGGCTGCCCAGAGCCACATCCAGCCTGGCCTTGAATGCCTGCAGAGATGGAGCATCTGCGACCTCCTACATAATCAGAAGAGTAATGCTGTATAAGTGATCGCCAAGCACAAGGATGTTGACGTTCACTGCGGTGGTGATCCAACTTTGAATAAACCAAAAAACCCAATGTGAGCCAGTCTGCTGGAATTCCTCCCTTTTACACCCTGGAGGTGCCCGAGGCTGTGCATGGGGCAGCCTGAGCTGGTGGGCAGCACCCGACCCACAGCAGGGGTGGAACTGGAGAGTCTTTAAGGTCCCCTCCAACCTGAGCCATCCTATGGTTCCACCATTCCCCCTCCCTTTGGATGGAGCCCCACATCAGCCCCACAGCCCCGGGAGCCCCACCGCCAGCACAGGACCCTCCTCAGGGCTGCCTGCACCTCCTGGTTGCGGAGGCTGTAGATGAGGGGGTTCAGCGCGGGGGTGACGATGCAGAACGACGCCGACACCACCGCGTCAGCCAGCGGCGAGCTGTCAGTGCCGAGCCGGTTGTAGTTGAGGTTGGCCGTCACGAAATAGAGCGTGACCACCAGCAGGTGGGCAGAGCAGGTAGAGAAAGCCTTGCGTCGGCCAGCAGCCGCGGGCACAGCCAGCACGGCCGCCAGGATGCGTAGGTAGGAACCGAGCACCAGCAGGAAGGGGCCGAAACCCACGAAGACGCTGGCAGCGTGCAGGGCCGCCTCGCTGAGCCGCGTGTTGCCGCAGGCGGCCCCGAGCAGCGGGGGGACGTCGCAGAAGAGGTGCTGCAGGCGGACGGCCCTGCAGAAGGACAGCCGGGAGGCCAGCAGTGTGTGCGCCGCCGAGTCCAGCACGCCCCACAGCCAGCAGCCCGCAGCCATGGCCCAGCACGCTGCCCTCGGCATGGCGTGTGCGTAGTGCAGGGGGTGCACGATGGCTGCGTAGCGGTCGTAGGCCATGACGGCCAGCAGCGCGCACTCAGCACCCGCGCAGCTCATCAGGAAGAAGGTCTGAGCCAGGCAGCCGCCATAGGAGATGGCGGCCCGTGGGCGAAGGCTGTCGGCCAGGATCTTGGGCACCGTCACTGTGGAGTAGCAGATGTCCAACCAGGAGAGGTGGCTGAGGAAGAAATACATGGGGTTGTGGAGATGGGGGTCCAGGAGCGCGAGGGCGAGTATTGCAGAGTTCCCCAGCAGCGTGACCAGGTATGTGGCCAGGAAAAGGAGGAAGAGGAAGGGCCGGCCATGGGAAAAGCCCAGCAGCAGGATCTCTGTCACCTGAGTCTGGTTCCCCCTGGCCATGGGGCAGCTGCATTGGTCTGCAGGCAAAAAAGAGCACCAGGAAGAGGTGGAGAGGGTAAAAAATGACTACGGAGTATGGGTTCAACTGCTCGGATGGCTGTGGTCCTACCTCTGCAGTGACTGAAGTCTTCCCACGCCGATACTTTGCAGACAGTGGGATTTCACTGCCCAGGAAGATGCTGTTTGGTGCTGGAGATCTGACTGCAGGAGTCACACCAAGGAAACCCTGGCCAGTTTGCATCCAGACTAACTCACACATCCTGGTTCCTCCTGCCCATCAAACCCACTGTCTCAAACACCCAGCACATCTCTCTTTTCTTCCCATTTGCACTTCTGGTAATTGCCTCTTTCCCTGCTTCTTTCACAACATCACATCCTTCTCCAGATGCTATGGCCACAAGGCCTGCTCTCTGCCAGCTGCCTGGGATGTGCCATCACTTTGCACCAGCTAAAAGGGATTATTATTACTCTTTTTTCCATCCTGTCTCTTGCTCTGCCTTTTTGGAGTGCTTGGCAATAACCAGTACCAGAGCACCCCAGGTTTCAGCTGAAGGAGGCTCACCATGCTGTGCTTGTAGAGCCACAACCAAATTGAGCTGCCAGGGGTCTCTGCTGGCCTGGGACTCCTGACTTTCTTCCATACATCTTATTTCTGTCACCCTGACCCAAGGGTTTTGCTGACTGCTCTGTGGAGCTGTGCTGACCCTGTCCACGTGAAAGGCTGAGAGACCTGAGGCTGTTCAGCCTGAGGAAAAGAAGGCTGAAAGGGGATCTGATCAATGTTCATAAATCTCTAAAGGGAGGTGGAGGCACATGGATGAGGCCAGGCTCCTCTCGGTGGTGTGCAGCCATAGGACAAGGAGCGATGGCCTCACACTGGAACATAGGAAGTTCTGTACTAAGATGCAGGAGAACTGCTTTCCATCAGGGTGATGGAGCAGTGGCACAGGCTGCACAGAGAGGTGGTGGAGTCTCCTTCTGTGAAGACATTCAAGACCTGTCAGGACATCCACCTCTGAGACCATTATAAGGAACTGCTTTAGCAGAGGTTGGGCTCAGTGATCTCCTGAGGTCCCTTCCAACCCTGTGGTTCTGTGATTCCGTTGTCTGTGGTGTTTGCAGCAGCAGAAGGGAACCACGAGTTCCTCTGCAGGAGGGACTGGGAGGGGTGGAGAGCTGCCTGTGAGGCTCTCCCTGTGCTGACAAACCCGAGCTGCATTGGGTGTGGAGGCACAGAGGTGCTGTGCAATCACAGGAAGACAGACCCTAATTTTTCCACTGTGCTCTGATGTAGTGACATTTAAACCCTTCACCCCCAAACACCCTTTGTACAGGGAAGGGGAAATGTGGTCAGAAAATCTCCCCTTCCCCCACCAAGGAAGGTGCCTCACTTCACCTCTGTGCCCTTTCCATAGCCCCAATGTTTTGGGGTGCATTGTACCACCCTCTGTTCTGCAGGAGGCCAGGCATGCCGTGCTCCCACCCCAGATACCAGATGCTCCTGCAGGAAGATGCAGCTCTCCCCTTGAAGCTCTGCCAGCCCATTTGCAGCCAGGTGAGCAGAGCAGAGCCTGGAATGTGGGTGTGGGATCCCGACCCCTTGGTGTGCTCTGTCCCTGTCTGATGGTTGGAGTGGGATAGCTGGCAGCACCACAGGAGAAATTTCTCCTGATGAGGACTGGGTGGTTTTGCAGGAGGCAGCACCAGCCCCCAAAACCTGTCCAAATGCCTCGACCACCCTGAGCCCTGGGTGCCAGCACAGGCACGGTCCCCACACAGTGTGCTGGGGGGGACCCTGAGAGGAGGGCTCCATCATGAGTGAGAGCCCTATGAGCCTCCTGCTGCACATAGGGCTCTGCCCTCCTTACCTCCGTGTCCAGCAGCAAACCTGCAGTGCTGGGTGAGAGGGAAAAGCTGCCCCTGCCCCCACGTGCTGCCCAGTGTGTCTTACCTGCACCAGGAGGAGTCACCTGCACCTGTGAGCAGAGGAGCAGCTTTTAACCCTGGGAGGTCCTGAGGGAGAGGCTGGCAGAGGCAACACTGCTGCATAGCAAAAGCACAGAGCAGAGATGCTTTCCCCAATCAGTCAGTCCACACAAGTGGGACCTGAGACTGCCAAACAGAATCTCCTGGCACAGTGCCCCCTATGATTCCCTGTTCTTTTGGGCTCCATCAAAAGAGGGGTGGCCAGCAGGGACAGGGAGGTAATTGTTCCTCTCTACTCTGCTCTTGTGAGGCCCCATCTGGAATACTGCGTCCAAGTGTGGAGCCCCAGTACAAAAAAGACAGGGAGCTGTTGGAGAGGGTCCAGAGGAGGCCACGAAGATGATCAGGGGACTGGAGCACCTCCCCTATGAGGACAGGCTGAGGGAGCTGGGCTTGTTCAGCCTGGAGAAGAGAAGGCTGCGGGGTGAATCATTGCAGCCTTTCAGTACCTAATGGGAACCTACAAACAGGAGGGGAATCAACTCTTTGAAAGGGTAGATAACTGTAGGACGAGGGGAAATGGTTTTAAGTTGAGGGAGGGAAGATTTAGGTTGGATGTCAGGAGGAAATTCTTTATAGAGAGAGCGGTGTGGTGCTGGAACAGCTGCCCAGAGAGGCTGTGGATGCCCCGTCCATCCCTGGAGGTGTTCAAGGCCAGATTGGATGGGGCCCTGGGCAGCCTGGTCTAGCATTAAATGTGGAGGTTGGTGGCCCTGCATGTGGCAGGGGGTTGGAGATTCATGATCCTTGAGGTCCCTTCCAACCCTGGCCATTCTGTGATTCTGTGATTCTGTGCTCTGGTCCAGCCCAGTCTGAGCTCTCCAGCCCTGCCCTCCCATCCCAGCCGTCAGCAGCTCTTGTGCACCTGGGCTGCAGCTCAGATGACCGTGCACTGGATACCCCGTGCCATGAGGAAGGGCCAGCTGGGAGGGCTGGGAGCTGATTGAGATCATTAACTGCTAAGTACAGACACTACACTCAGCCTTCACCAAAAAGTGAAGAACCTGCGGCCCTTACATCCTCCTTCACCACACTGTGAGGTGTCACACCAGATGGTGCAGCAGAGGGGCAGCAATGGGCAGGGCTGGCCCTGCACTCTCCTGCAGCACAGCCCTGTGGCACCGGTTGTGCTGGGTTAATGCACTGATTGTGTTGGGTTAATGCACTCATTGTGCTTGATTAAAGCACTGGTTGTGCTGGAACAGAGCCCCGTGGCTTCCTGAAGAGCCAGGCAGGAGGACTATTTGGTCCCATACTGGCTGAGTGCAGCTTGTCCTGAGTTTAAGGCAGCTCCTGCTATGAGCAGCAGTTTTGATGTACAGCATCATGGAAATGCAAAATGGGAAATACAGAAAATGGGAAGATGGCAGTAGGGAGGGAATTTGGAGAGGCACCATTGTTCCTGTAGCAGGAATGCATCAGAGCCTGGGTTAGCAGGCCTATGGGTGCGTAGGGGTTGCAAATGGGGCTTCCTAGTGGTGTATCATGTGGTGATATTTGAGGACATGGGGACTTTATCTACTAAATATATGAATTTATTACAGGTCACCACCAGCAAGTATACTATGATGAATAAGACGAATATATGTGGAAATTAATACGGATAATAAATTATTATAGACTATAGCAGGAAGCAAATATATATATTGCAGATATTAAGGGCATAGCACCAACTAAAAGTAGCAGCAGAGGGAACAGGAAGGCAATTAGAGGCGGTAAAATCCAAGTATGGATTGGTATTGTCAGTGGGACAAACTTAGCAATAATGCAAAGTTTGAAGTAGTAATGAATAGTAATGAGTAGTTATGGGTTACAAGCTTATCAGTAGTTTAGGAGCAAACATGACAGCTTAATTTATCAAGACTATATCCATGGCCCAAGACATACTTCTATGTATACTTTGGGGTATAAAAGTATATATAAAGCAAAACCACTGGAACAAACACAACAAACTGATAGAAGAAGGGACCAGGTCAGGTTCACATTGACCTTAAGGGGTCCCATTAATCACAGAATCACAGAATGGCCTGGGTTGGAAGGGACCTCAAGGATCATGAAGCTCCAACCCCCCTACCACATGCATGGCCACCAACCTCCACATTTCATACCTGCCCAGGGCCCCATCCAACCTGGCCTTGAACACTTCCAGGGACGGGGCATCCACAGCCTCTCTGGGCAGCTGTTCCAGCACCTCACCACTCTCATGGTAAAGAACTTTAAGAAATGTTCTTAAGAAAACCAACCCCCAGCAGCGGGCACAGGAGGGGATCAGTGTCCTACAGAGTTGGTTTGTGTCATGGAAGGGCTTCATTGCAACCTTTCTGCAGTGTTTCCTGCTGATAGGAGCTCTTGGAGTGGGTCCAGAGGAGGGCAGTAAGATGATCAGAGGGCTGGAGCAGCTCTCCTATGAAGAAAGCTTGAGGGAACTGGGATTGTTTGGCTTGGAGAAGAGAAGGCTGTGGGAAGACCTCATTGTGGCTTCCAGTACTTGAAGGGAGCGTATAAACAAGAGGGGGAACGGCTGTGAGGGTGGATGGTGATGGGACAAGGGGGAATGGCTTTAAAGTGAGACAGGGGAGGTTTAGGTTGGATATGAGGAGGAAGTTTTTCAGCCAGAGGGTGGTGAGGCACTGGAACAGGTTGCCCAAGGAGGCTGTGGATGCCCCATCCCTGCAGGCATTCGAGGCCAGGCTGGATGTGGCTCTGGGCAGCCTGGGCTGCTGGTTGGTGACCTGCACACAGCAGGGGGTTGGAACCAGATGAGCACTGTGGGCCTTTGCAACCCAGGCCGTTCTATGGTTCTATGATAGGGCCATAGCAGCCAATCATAGAACCATAGAATCACCACGGTTGGAAAAGACCTCCAAGGTCATCCAGTCCAACCATCCACCTACCACCAATGTCTCCACACTAAACCATGCCCCTTGGTACAACACTTAAACATTTCTTGAACACTTCCAGGGATGGCGACTCAACCTCTGTATCTGAAGCTCCAGGAGCGGAGGTGTCAGACAACACCAACAGCTGAAAGGTGCCAACAGAACTGATGGAGAAACACTGTGAAAATTCAATATGGTAGGGAGCCACTGCTGGAGTGAGGGGAAAATGGCATCAGACAGGATGGAAAAGGAAGATGGAAAGTGATAATTCTGAGCCCTGACTGTCTGAGAGGGTTTTCAGGCCAGAAGGACTGTGACAAAAGGACTTTGTGACATTGTGAGGGCTTTGACTTCACAAAATGTTCCCTCTCTCCTGTAGAAATGTTGAATGTTTCCTTTTTTCACACTGAAATTCAGTGGCACATCACTCCTGTATGGCCCGTCTGCTCCCCTGGGTTTCTGGATGGAGGCTGCAGCACTTGGAGAAACTGATGTCTGATGTTTGTCTCAGGCCTTGCTGAGCCCTGCACTGGGGTGTGCAGGCACAGGGACGGCCCCAGCTCCTGTGAGCACTCAGCACTTCTGGAAGTTGAACTCTTTAGTGGAAGCAGAGCTCTTGATGTCTCCACTTACAAGCACTGTGCTTTCCAAACCCAAAGGTACTGTTGTAAAACCGTGGTCTTCTCCAAGTCATGTTTCCCCGTTTGTGTTGACAGGTGGATGTTGGATTGGATCTTGGGAACAGTTTCTTCTCCAAAGAGCACTGGCACAGCCACAGCTTTCCTGAGCCCCTGAGCCCTCATCTCATGATATTCAGAGTGAATCATGAATCATTCAGGTTGGAAAAGACCACTAAGATCACCACAGGGGACTCTGGTTCTTTCTTACATCCATTTAGAAGGAAGAATCTTGAACTTGAAGCCTCTTGCCTGCATTTTGCCTGCTGCCTCTCCTACATCTCTGTGCCTCATTGTGAAGGGCCTGGCTTTGGTTTTGAGATAACCTCCCCATGGGTACAGCAAGGCTGCTGTGTGGTCCCCACAAGCCACCACTCCATCAGGCTGAATAAGCCCAGCTCCCTCAGCCCCTGCTCATGGGAGCTCACCTCCAGCTTGCTGACGTGTTCTGGGGAGCCCAGCACTGCATCCAGTATCTGCAAGTGGTCTCAGGGGTGCTGAGCAGAGGACACAACAGCTTATCTCATTCTGCTGCCTTTGATTCACACAGCCCCAGGCCGCCCAGGGCACGCTGCTGCCCCATGTCCAGTTTGCTGTCATTGCTCCCCCCCCTCCAGACACAGGACCTGGCATTGTTCTCATTGAATTTCATGGGGTTCCCATTGGTCCACTCCTCCAGCCTGTCCAGGTCCCTCTGGAATAAAAACCCTTGAGCACATACACTGGTCTCCTTGACTTGATGTCACCTACAAATTTGACATGGGTACCATCTCCTCTGTGTCACTAATGAAGAGGCCAATCAGGACAGGGCCCTGGACAGATACCTGTGATATCTCATTTGTCACTGGCCCCCAGGTAAAGGATGACTGCTCAAACATTCTCTGAAACTGATGATCCAGACAGTGTTACATCATTGCTTTCATGATGTTGCTTTGACACACACAAGCTGAACACGCTTTTCTTCCCGTTTTTGAACACACTTCTACTGATAAGATGAGCCCAGCTGCTCAGATCTTTGTGTGTCCATGTCCAAGTACAGAGCTCAGTAATGTGTTGATGGCATTGTTGGCCCCACTGGCTGCAGTGGGCTTGTGTTGGTTTTGCCCAATGGTTTTGGCTGTCCCTGATGCAGTTGTGATGGTGCTAAAGGTGCTCTGCCAGGAGTTAAGGTTAGGGCTAGGGTTACGGTTACAGTTAGGATAGGGTGATGAGGAGAGGTAACACATGAGCCATAAAAAGCATTCCCCACTGGATGCCATGGAAAATCCCTCCAGCAGTGGCTCCACACCCCACAAGCCATGGACTCTGTTCCTGCAGCCCCAACTGTGTCCTGGGCAGGGGCTGGACCAGCATCTCCTTTCCACCAGTATGAGTCTGATCTCTACAGTTAAAAGTCCATTGGGTTTTGTAAGAACAGCATTTCACATTTTTCTCATTGCTTTCCTTTGAGTAAGGAAAGGAGTTTCCTTTGAGACATGACTTTGCAGAGGAGTTGCCCGGAGCTCCTTGTTATCTAGGCCAGTCCAGAAGCAAGGATAGGAAAGAACTGGCATTTCCAGCCTGCACTGCCCAAGGTAGGACAAACACCTCATCCTGTGAAAGCACTAATGGAATGCAGTGAGTTGTTTTTCTCTTAAATGACAGATTTTTTTTTGGCTGAAAAAAAATCAGCAGTGCCTCATGCTGCTCTGTAGCAGTGAAAGGACTCCATTTGCTGCATCTTCATTCTGTTTAATTCACTGCTGGTACTCATATTGCAGGAAAAAAGGGCGGTAATGGTTGATCCAGCTCTAAAATGGTTCAAAGCTGACTTAAGTGTGTTTATCTTGGGTTAAGAGCAGGCACAATGCATCAGGCCACACAAAGTGACTGTGGCCCCTCAGTGCAGGGTTTGGGATCCATGTAACACCCACACAGAACCCCAGCACCAGCCCAGGGGCAGCATTCCTTCCTGGGCAGCTTCTGCTTAGAAAGCCACAAGGGAGGGCTCTCCCACCACCACCGAGCAGCTCCTGCCCACTGATTATTATGGGACAGCTGTGGCCCAACACCACCCCCATCCCCTCAGCTCACTCCATCCTCACACTGCACAGACCCTGTGGGGTTTTGCCCAGGGCACCAAGCCTGACATAGGAGCTAATTACTGCACTTCAAATGAGATGCTTTAAATAGAAGGTTGAAATTGGAGAGAAAAGTTTTCTTGCTTCAGTTTACCCACTTGGGGCACATCCCCACTGGGCTGCCTCCACAGAGGCATTGCCACAGGGGTCGCAGTGCCAGGCAGAAAGCCCAGAGCACCCCATTTTTCTGCCCTGTGTGTCTGTGTGACACTGGTAAATGAGGCACAGAGGGAATTGTTAGAAGTTCGGTGTATCATTCAGAACGTAACTTTGAAACTGTTTACATTTGCACCAATCCATTGCATCATAACATAGAAAAAGGAAAATGGAAAGTGGAGAACATCTTCCTGTCTTCGAGGTGTCCGTACTCTGAGCCAAGAAAAGGTGCACACAAAGCATTTGAGTGTTAGAAGGGGAAAAAGCTGAAGAACTGAACAGTGCATGAACAGTCAATATGAAACGCCTGAGTGACAGCAAACTGTGCAAATCAAAATTCAACAGACATCACCAATTCCTTGACCTGCTTTGAAGAATAACAATGAAACCCCTTCTCAGTCTCACCCTATTGCTTCTTGCCCCTTCCTTAGTCCCAGTGCCCCACAGTGCAGTTGTTGCAACAGAATCTGTAACATTAGCTAAACCAGCACCTGGAAATTTTGCCTTTGTGAGGTTAAGTTACATCTGGAGTTCAAATAAAACAAGCAAAAATCCTGAAGGAAGGAACAGAATCTGTTCTCCGTTTGTTCTGTAAGACCAGATTAATGAGGGGCAGGGAATGAGGGAGAGAAAAGAAAGGTGAGAAATTGAACGAGAAGTTGTTTTGAATTTAAATCATTTGAAGTTACAAAACCAATGGTGACTCATCGTCAGAGGACCAAACGGCACCAGATGGTGCACAGAACAGATGCTGAATGTCACTGCAGAAGCAGCAAAAAAAGCATACTCTGCTCTCTTCCAAGCAAGGAGGAAAAAAGACTTTCAGCAGAGTACCCAAAATAGAGAACATCTGCTGTCATCCCAAATACAAGGGCTTCCTTGTGTTAAAAAACCATGTCTGACATTACCTCTTGCACCTAACACCAATTATTTCAGGATCAGATCTCCTGATGAATTTTAGAACATCTTTTGTTTTGCAAAACAAACACCTTGATTGGGGAAATGGGACTGAGCACCCCCACTCAGGTGGACCAAAGACATACAATCATAGAATCATCATAGAATGGCTTGGGTTGGAAGGGACCTCAAGGATCACAAAGCTCCTGCTCCCCCACCACAGGCTAGGCCACCAACCTCCACATTTAATGCCAGACCAGGCTGCCCAGGGCTCCATCCAACCTGGCCTTGTACACCTCCAGGGATGGACGGGGCATCCACAGCCTCTCTCAGCAGCTGTTCCAGCACCTCACCATTCTCATAGCAAACAACTTCTTCCTCCAACCTCAATCTTCCCTCCCTCAACTTCAAATCATTTCCCCTTGTCCTGCTGTTATCTCCCCTTTCCAAGAGTTGACTCCCCTCCTGTTTGTAGGCTCCCTTGAGGTCCTGAAGGCTGCAATGATTCATCCCGCAGCCTTCTCTTCTCCATGCTGAACAAGCCCAGCTCCCTCAGCCTGTCTTTGTAGGGGAGGTGCTGCAGCCCCCTGATCATCTTTGTGGCCTCCTCTGGATCCTCTCCAACAGCTCCCTGTCTTTTTTGTACTGGGGGCTCCAGACCTGGACGCAGTGCTGCAGATGGGACCTCATGAGGGCAGAGCAGAGAGGGACAACCCCCTCCCTGTCCCTGCTGATGGAGCCCAGGATACCATTTACTTTCTGAGCTACAAGAGCACACTGCTGGCTCATGCTCAGTTTTTCATCCATCAGGACCCCCAGGTCCTTCCCTGCGGAGCTGCGCTCAAGGGCCGCTCCTTCCAGTCTGTACAGATGCCTGGGATTCCTCCAGCTCAAATCCCAAACCTTGCACTTTGCTGTGTTCAACCTCATTAGATTCACCCGGGCCCACCTTTCAAGTCTGTTGAGGTCCGTCTGAATGGCATCCCCTCCGTCCACTGTGTCTGCTCAGGGTGCACTCAATTCCATCACTGATGTCACTAATAAAGATGTTAAAGAGTACTGGTCCCAAGACAGACCCCTGGGAGACAGCACTCCTTACTGGCCTCCATCTGGACAAAGAACCACTGATCACACCCTTTGTCTGCAGCCTTTCAAGCAATTCCTTATCCATGTCAGCTCTAACTTGACAGCTACCCAAGCAATGCTAACCAGGATCTGTAACCGTATGTGAAAATATGACACTGAGATGGAGGATCAGTACTTGAAATTCAAGGTTTTGTTTCAGGGATTATGAAAAACAAACATTTCAGATGAACAAAGAGCTAGGAGTTACCATGTAATGACATCCCCAATTAACATCATAAAAGCAAACGATGTAAAGAAGGAAGGCAGAGAAAATTAGTAAGGATCAGTAATTACCAGAACAGACACACAACACAAAGCATTTGGGGAAACAATAACGAATCAACCATTAATGACAGCAAGAATTCAGGTCTGGGTAAGTTCATGTCATGAACAGATCCACCTTTGGGTACTGCGGGTGAAAATAAAAGCAGCAAGGCAGAAATGCAGACATATTCAGCAGATTATTTTGATCTGTACTTGAAACAAAATAATGGTTGTGTTTAATCCCCTATAATAGCAAGGAAAGAACAACGCAAGTATACCGAATCAAGGAAGCTGGATGGCAGCGCTTTGACAACTTACATTTTCTCAAACACAGCTGTCTTAAACTAATCAAAGAGCAACTTGTTTGTGAACCGTGACAGAACAGCGTGCTAATTAATTAGGAACTCAATCAACAGAGCTTCAGTATCACTAACATTCATGCTTAACATCAGAATGGGGAGTCAAGCAAACAAACTCATCTTAAGTGCATTCCCAGGGTCCCTTCTCTGATTCAGTGCATTGGGAATTATGTCAAAGAAAGTTCACTCAGTACCTTGATTAAAAAAAAATCATCAGTATTGGAAAAAACTATTAGGGGACAGTTCAAATGGATTCAAGACTCACACATGGACAGATCTCAAAATGCATCAGACAGGAGCACAGAACTTCCACAGTAACTCAAACCCAAGTCCTCGTGCCCCACCACACAGTAACCAACGATCTGGATGGTTGAAACACTTGGAACATAACTGTACAAAGGATGTGGAACTCTGTGCTTCAGCTCACAGCAAACCCAGAAGCAATTCAGTCTCTGAGTCACCATTGGGTATTCTGTTATGAGGCTGAATGTAAAGAGCTCCACTCAGAACTCCTGCGGTGTCTGGTGTCTGTGTACCTGCACTGAATTATATATTTTTTGCCTTTGTTAGACTCACAATATTCACAGTTCTAACAGCCACTCTCAGATTCCATCAGAGCCACCAACCCCTCGTTCCAGAAAATCTAAAAGCAAACAATGTATGATCCTTCACAGGCACTGTGCTGCTTCACATCTTTCTGCAATCACTTCTAGAAGATCAGCCATACGGTTGTCAGCCCAGACTAAAAGGAACTGCTTTCCTACTGAGAACAAGTTCCAAACGTGCCCTCCACTAGATGCTTATGATAAGAATTTTGATATGAGTTTGAAGGCCACCTTTCTTCCCAGCTTGGATCCAGGAAAGCAGTAACAGAAGAGTTACTATTGCACTGCTCACCACTGCATTTTTTTTCCATATTCATCCCATTAAATCATTCTTTCATAAGGGAAGGAGAGAACAGAGCAGATAGTAAGAATGTGGGCCTATTATCAGCAGCGCCTATTATCCCCTAGCTGACAAGTCCTTGGAGGAATTCACCTGCACTGCTCATACACAAATAAGCACACGAGGGCTGGAGAAGTGCATGGCTTTATCTCTGTGTTGACTTTCAGTACTGCTAGTGGAGAAGTTGTTTCAGGAGTGTCCCAGCACCTGTATGCTGCACAAATAACAGTCCCAAGCAGCACAGCACAATGCTCATCTGTCTTTCCTTTCCCCACAGTCCTTAAGACTCTGCGTCTTGTTATGGGACTGACCCAAACAGTGTGGCTAGCAGCTATCTCCAGCTCAGCAGACCATACCCCTGGATAACTCATGTCAACTCTGTTTCTTCACCCCTGATCACACAGTGGACACGCTTCTCTGCATTGTAATACATCTGCCCACGGCGCAGACGTGGCTCCTCCTGCTGGTACCAGAGCTGTTCGTTGAACTCTGGAAAGAAGAAGGCAATTTCTCTGCTGGCTGACGCTGGGGAATCTGTAAAGTAGAGAGGGAAGAGGTGAGATGCTAGTCTGGCACCTAAAACATGCACTGTTTTAAAGGGAAAGGCAGAAGCTGCGGATGTAAAGTACCAGGCCTGGCTGCATGTGGAGTCTGCAGAAGTGAGCAAATTGTGAACAGAAAGCAGAGGCAGACAAAAATAGTATTGTTCAGCCCTCACCGAGCTCCAGTCCCTGCCCAATGCTCAGCCAAGAAGGCCTACCTGAACCATGGGTGGTATTCCTGGTGTCAGTGAGACCATAAGCTCCTCGGATGGAGTCTGGGACACAATTTCGAGCTCGGAATACTTTGGTGGGTCCCATCAGTGATCTCCAGAGGGAGATAGCATTCTCATGGGCCAAGATATAAGCCCACATAGGGCCACTGAAAAAAGGACCAGGAAAGAAAAGGTTATAACAGGGTACAGCTTCTTCATTTTTATACTTATGACAAGCTCACAGTAGACAGCAATAGCTTGGAAACAAAGCATCTGCATGACCTCCATCTAGGTGATGGCCGCAATACACTGGGATGCCATCCTACTGAGTCCTCTCTCATCACACAGGAGTTGTTCCATGATAAATGCCCGCCCTTCAGTCCAAAGCCTTCACCCTCAGCACATCACAAGCACAGGCTCCCGACAAGATGCATCCCACGCTGAGGTGGAGCCCTTCAGATATGGGTGCACTGCTCAGGATTCACCCCCATCCCCTCCTCATACCCCGCACTGCCCGCGACGTGGCACAGCAGGTACCTGGCCATGAACTCCACCAGCCGCTGGTAGAAGAATCGCCCTGTGGGAAAGAAACAACCCTGAGTCACAGCACTCACTCAGAGTGCTCCCTGCCCACTGCTGGGAGAAGCAGCCTTTGGGGAATCACAGAATGGTGTGGATTGGAAGAGACTTGCATACAGTCACAGTGTGATTTGGGTTAGAAGGGCTCTTCAAGGCCATCTGGTCCCACTCCCTGCAATAAGCAGGGACCCCCATGGTTCGCTCCATCAGTGCTCAAAGCCCCATCCCCTGAGCGTGGCTATCTGCAGGGATGGGCAGCACCACTTCTCTGGGCAACCTGTGCAGTGCCTCACTGCCCTCAGCATGAAGACCTTACTCCTTACATCCAGCCTCAGTCTCCCTCTGTCAGTTAGAAACCATCTCCCTTGTCCTGTCACACAGAACCCGCTGAGAAGTCCATTCCCTCCTTTCCCCAACCCCTTCAGATACAGAAGGCTGCTCTCAGCTCTCCCTACAGCCTTCCCTTCTCCACCTGCACAGCCCCAGCTCTCAGCCTGTCCTCGCAGGAGAGCTGTTCCATCCCTAAGACCCTTTTAGTGGCCCTCCTCTGCACACACTCCAACAGGTCGGTGTCCCTCCTGTGCTGAGCACTCCCCACAGGACGCGGTGCTCCAGGTGAGGTGTCCCAGCACGGAGCAGAGGTGCAGATCCCCTCCCTCGCCCTGCTGGCCGCGCTGCTCTGGAGCCCCCAGAGTGCAATTGGCTCCCTGTGCTTTGAGGGCACAGTGCTGCCTCGTGGTGCTGCTCCCCACCAGCACCCCCAGGGCCTTTTCCTTCCCGCCCCGCAGCCCCGCGCCGCCTACCCGCGTGCTCCCGGTAAAAGCGGCGGCTCTGCTCCCGCCCGCAGCGCAGCTCCTTGGCGCGCACGATGAGGAGGCGGTTGCTGAGGATGGTCTCATGCACGGCCTGTGGGCAGAGGCGCAGCGGCTGGGCGGGAGGCGCGCACCGCCAGGGCGTCCCGAGGGGGCCGAGCGGTGCGGGGCGGCCCTATCTGCCCTCACCTCCAGCACCAGCGGGTGGGCAACGGCGTCCGGCTTCAGCAGCGCGAGCGTCAGCTGCAGGGGCCGCTTGGAGCACGCCGCGGCCGCCATGGCGCCCTCCTCCCCGGCGGCGTCGCGCGGGTGATGACGTCAACTCAGCGCGACGGCGCGCGGCCGACTACGCCTTCAGAATGCGACGGCGCGCTCGTGGTGACGTCGTCAGAGAGCGACGGCGCCGTGCGTGTCGCGTAGCAGCGGGGACGCAGCGGCGGAGTAATGGCGGAGGCGGCGGAGCAGCCCCAGGATGAGGCCCCGGTTGAGGCCGGCGCCGAGGAGGCCGTGAAGATCATCTGCCTGGGGGACAGCGCCGTGGGCAAGTCCAAGTGCGTGGCCGCGCGGGTTCCCCGGGCGCCGGGCCGGGCCTGGTGGGGCTCCTGACGGCCGCGCTGTCTCCCCGCAGGCTGCTCGAGAGGTTCCTGCTAGACGGGTTGTATCCGCGGTTCCGGCCGCGCCCCTCAGGTGTCGGTGGGGCGGGCGGGAGGCGGGCGGCGGCGGGGACTGTTCATCCGACGGCTCCTTAACGCGGGCGCAGCCGCCCCCAGCAGCTCTCCACCTTCGCCTTGACGTTGTACCGACACCGAGCGCGGGTGGACGGGAAGGCGGTGCTCGTGGGTAAGTGCGGAGCCCTGTCGGAAGCTCTGTCGGAAGGCAGGACGGCCGCGGTGCTGCCGGGACTCAAAGCGCCGCGCGGGGCTTCCCGGCGGCGGGCAGGGGGTGCCGCCCGGCGCTGTGAGGGCAGCGAAATGGAGGAATGAAGAGCAGCATCGCAGAGCCGTTTCATAGCCGGGCTGTGCTGTGCCGCTTGTTCTCCGCCCTCAAAAGAACAGGGGGAGAAAACAAGGTGAGAAAAGGCTCATGGGTCGAGGTAAGGATGGGCAGATCGCTGCTGATTTTTGTCGTGGGCAATGCACTGATCCTGAGAGAAGAAATTAGGAAGAAATTCTTTACTGCGAGGGCAGTGAGACAAAGGAGTAGGTTGCCCAGTGAGGCTGTGGATGTCCCCTCCCTGGAAGCATTAAAGGCCAGGCTGGGTGGGGCTGTGAGCAACCTGGGCTGGTGGGAGGTGTCCCTGCCTACAGCAGGGGGTTGGAATGAGATGGTCTGAAAGGTCCCTTCAAACTCAAACCATTCTATGAAGAGAACCTGAAGAGAACAAACACCAAATCCCCATCATCTGCTTCCTCCTCCTGTCACTGACAGTGCAGGGGAATGGGGATTGTGGACATCCCACGATGATTTGTCTCTGCAGTTCCTTCAGCCTCACTCTGTTCCCTGCTGTAGCATGGGGCAGCTCCCATGGGATGCTGTTCTGCCCAACCTGGTCCTGGTTTTGTGTTAACTCTTGTCCCCAGAATGTTTCAGATCAGTGAGATGAAACCTAATCTGTGGCTCTGATTAATGAGCTGGGGTTTGCATCCTGGGTTGAAGTTGCGAGAAAAACAGAAGTTGAGATGTTGTGTCATCCTGAATTTGTTGGTTTTATTTTTGTTTGTTTGTTTGTTTTTAATTTATTTTTTTATCTTACAGATTTCTGGGACACAGCTGGACAAGAGCGGTTCCAGAGCATGCATGCCTCCTATTACCACAAAGCTCACGCTTGTATCATGGTAAGGGTGATGTCCCAGGTTGCCCAAGGAGGCTGTGGATGCCCCATCCCTGCAGGCATTCAAGGCCAGGCTGGATGTGGCTCTGGGCAGCCTGGGCTGCTGGTTGGTGACCTGCACACAGCAGAGGGTTGGAACTGGATGAGCACTGTGGGCCTTTTCAACCCAGGCTATTCTATGATTCTGTGATCTGGTGGGATTTTGGCTGATAACTCCCAGCTGATGTTTGGCCTGGATGTTACTTTTTACAGTTACACTGCACTATTTTTTTTTTCTCTTCCAGTTCTTTTACAAATTTTCCCACATTGTTCCTTCTTTTCTTACCTGACAAAGCCATTGTGCTTGGTATGTTCTGCATCCTTCCTGCAGTGCTCTGACTGCATTCCCTGAGTTTGCTTCCTTCTCAATTTCCTTTCTTTTATCACTGCACTTCCAGTGATGTGGTGTGTACAACCAAATGCACCTCCTTGGGAGCGGCCCTGTCAGAGGGGTTGTGGGGGAGAGGGCACTGTTTTCTTCTTCTGTGATGTGTCTGTTGAATTGTAGAGAACAAAACTGTCTTAACATGTTCTGCAGAGTACTGCATTCACAGAATGACAGAATGGTTTGGGTTGGAAGGGACCTCAAGGATCACGAAGCTCCAACCCCCCACCACAGGCAAGGCCACCAGCCCATTTCACAGCAGCCCAGGCTGCCCAGGGCTCCATCCAACCTGGCCTTGAACACCTCCAGGGATAGATGGGGCATCCACAGCCTCTCTGGGCAGCTGTTCCAGCACCTCACCGCTCTCTCTGTAAAGAACTTCCCCCCGACATCCAACCTCAATCTTTCCTCCCTATTTCCATGTGCTTTGAGCTTCCCATTTTTATAGCTCAAATTAGTGTTGTTTCCTGACTCCTAATCTACTTAGTCTCTTGGTCTGTGTTGTTACTCTGACTTTTCACTGTATCTTTATTGCTTGTATCTTTATCAGCGAACTCCACTGATGATTTAATATAATTGTTATAATGGAGAATCCTCACATCTGACCCTACTGACAGCAGAACAGATCTGTCCCAGTGCTTTCACTGTCGTGGGTGCTAGGAATGTAAAGGCAAACGAGGGATTGTTGCCTGCATCATGCAAAGAGAAAGCCTGGCTGCATTTTTCAGGGCTTGCTGGATATTCTCCCTTTTCTCTATCATGCTTTCTAACAACAAGCAGTTTCCCATGATATCCTTCTTTGGAGAATTCTGGATTCTGTACATTTGTTTGGTGCGGTGGGTTATCAGGAGCTGTCGTGTTATACCTGTGATAGCTGGTTCTTTTTTGGAAGGTGTTTGATGTGCAGCGCAAAGTCACCTACAAGAACCTGAACAACTGGTACAAGGAGCTGAGAGAATTTCGCCCGGAGATCCCTTGCATTGTGGTGGCCAATAAAATTGATGGTGAGTGTGTTGTCTTCTTGTAGCTCCTCAGGATTGTGAAGGTATTGTCTTCTTATCTGGTTGGGAAGGAATGTCACGCTTCTGTTGGGCCAGATACATCCTTGAGTATTAGTCCCTCAGGGCTGTATGTTACCAAATAAATAGCCAGGTTTATGGAGGTTCATTTGGTTCAGTGGTAGAGCTTAGGGTATGATTCATCTCACTAATGAAAGCCTTTCCTCCAGGCTGCATCAAGCACCACGAATAAAGCAACAGGAGCTCGTTCTTTTATTGGTCTTCTTGTCAGCTGCCTGGTGATGCTGTAGCTTTTAAAACCCTCTAGCTTTTGTGGAGGGCCCACGTGGCTTTGTACTGCAAAGGGGATGCCTTGATAGCTGCTTTAGGTTCTGGTCTGCATCTGTTCCACCATCCCTGCATTTGTTGGCACTCTTTCACAGAAAGAATCACAGAATGGCCCAGGTTGGAAGGGACTTCAAGGATCATGAAGTCCAACCCCCCTGCCACATGCGGGGCCACCAACCTCCACATTTAGTACTAGACCAGGTTGCTCAGGGCCCCATCCAACCTGGTCTTGAACACCTCCAGGGATGGACGGGGCATCCACAGCCTCTCTGGGCAGCTGTTCCAGCACCTCACCACTCATAGGAAAGAACTTCCCCCTGATATCCAACCTCAATCTTCCCTCCCTCAACTTAAAACCATTTCCCATTCTTTCTATACCAGTGCTTTACTATTTCTCCATTTCTTTTTTCCCCTCAGCGGATATGAAGATGACCCAGAAAAGCTTTAATTTCGCCCGGAAGTTCAGTTTGCCCTTTTACTTTGTGTCTGCTGCAGATGGCACCAATGTAGTGAAGGTAAAACACAGCTGTTTGTCTCAGCCCTGTACATGGAGACTGCTATGAGCATGGAGTAGGAAATGGGGCAGTCCCACTGACTAAAAGTAGTTGCAGAGTTGGTTTTTTTTCCCCATGGGGTGCGGGAACAGTTTTCATACACTAAAGAATGCCATCAGTCTTTGCTTTGAGTGACAAATTATTCTCCTTCTCATCAGCTCTTCAATGATGCTATCAAGCTGGCAGTTACTTACAAACAGAATTCAGGAGATTTCATGGATGAGGTCATGCAAGAACTGGAGGTAAGAAATAAGGGGAAGGAGTGCAGGGAGTAGAACCTGAGGTGGTTAGCAGCTCTTCCCCCTGGGGAAAGCAGAGCCTGTAACAAAGGGTGAAAATTTCACAGGAACTGAAAGATTTCCCTTATGCTGACAGTGCTGGGTTTGGGTGCTGCTCATATTTAGGTGGGAAGGTGGTGACCCTCTGAAGAACTTCTGCTGCTTTAGCCTGATTGTGAAAGAGCCATAGTGGAGTGTAGATGTCGTGCTCTTCAGCATTTTCTTGTCCTACTTTTTGCAGAGCTTTGACCTGGAGAAGAAGAGTGAGAATTTGTCAGATCAAGAGGAGAGCTTCCCTGAAGAAAAGCCCCCATCCTCCTAAGGACCGCACTTGGAGTCCATCTTTTCTCTCTGCTCCAGTTGTCAGGGGCTATTCAGAGTTCACCTCCACAGAGGAAAGCGATTTTTCTTGTGCCCTGAGATCTCTGGTGATGGGGAGACTGGGCACGATCTCCCTTGGCTGGGCCCTGACTCCCTGTGCATCACAGTTGAGGCAGCAGTGGGAGTATCCGTGTGTTTCTTCAAGACAGAGCTTGCTGGGAGAGCTGAGCCATTCCTGTACCTGCAGGGAAGGGTCCTGCCCAGAGACTTTAGTGGTACCTACTGCAGAAAATAGTTACTAAAGACTTCTTTTTAAAAAAAAAAAAAAAAAAAAAGTTTGAGTTTGGGTTCTTTTTGCAGTTTTGTTATGAGGCCGTTCAGTTGCTGCACAATGCAAGTCCACCCACCACCCCTTCCCTTCCTTTCACAGCCCAGCCAGTGCTGCCTCTATGCACCCCTGTGAGTTCCTTTGCACCCCCTTGTAGAGTTCCTTTGAGTTTCCCTTTTCCATTCTGCCGTGGGCCAGACAGATCCAGTAGACTTCTAGACATACAGAATTTGTCCTTGTAGGTCCACTGGAGCTTAATGATGTGGTCTCATATCCAAAAGGCATCTCCCAACCCATGCTGATGGATGTGGCTGCTGCTGCTCCCACGTGGTGATGTGCTGTGTGTTCCAGGTGCAGACAGAGACACACACCAGGACACTGACACCAGGCAAAACACATTAACACGGATAGAGTGGTGCCCTTGCATAAATATGTGACCATGAATGCCTCTCCAGTTACTGGGACTGGTGGTCAGCAGTGACAAATAGATGCAGCTTTACTCTCTAGATTTGCAGAGCAAGTCTACAGATCCTTCAAGTAACAGCATAGAAATTGCATCCATGTAACGTCTGGTGGCTGGGTGTCATAAGGTTCCTTGCACGCTCAGTGGGACAGCCATTAGCTCTTTCTAGATTTGGTCCCCTGCCATTTGAGCTGGCCTAGCATTAACTTGCCTGGTGCATTACACACCCCACACACTCAATATCACCAGTATCTGGCACTTGAGAGATACTTGATGTTGCCAGTTGCTGTCCCTGAGACCTTTGCTCACCTACAGCCTGTCCCATTGTGTCCTTTTCCCTGAGCAGGCATCATTTCAGCCCTCATGGGCCACTCTCTCCTTTTCCTGGCCTGCAGTCTGCACACAGCCTTGCTTTGCAGTGCTGGGTATGGAAGCCTTTGCCTGGCACAGGAGATTGAACTGAGCAGAGACACGGGGAACTGTGAAAATAAGCTTTATTTATCCAACTGAGTAAACTTCAGTGTTTGTGTGCAGTCAGAGGAAGATGGATGGGACAGAGCAGAGCTTTGGCACTGGGGCTGCCATTGGGCATTATCCCAAAGAAAAGGGTCGTGGTGCATTGCAGCCTGCTCTGGGTCATGCAGCTAATTAAGCTTTCTTTCCTCTTAAACCCTGCAGGAGCTCCTGGAGCAGATTAAAGAAATCCAGGAGTTTCTGGCGTGGAAATGGGCATGGTCTAAATGGGCTTGAGTATGTTGGTTTGGGCCTCTCGTAGGAGGTTGAGATATAGACTGGGTATGGTGTAGTAGGTGCTTCTGCTGGAAGCAATCCCATCTGTACCAGGATCCAGTTGCGAAAGTACTGAGTGGAGGCATAGACTCCAGGCTGCTGTATTCTCCCACAGCCTTTCCCCCAGCTGGTCACACCGATGAGCCAGAAGTAGTCAGCAGTTTTATCTTTGCACATGAGAGGACCACCGCTGTCGCCCTGTGGTGGAGGAGAGAAGCACAAAGTGTTACTGGGTGGCCACATCAGCAGCAGAGCTGGCTCCCCTCTCACAGCACTCCCTAGAGCTACATTCCCCACGCAGAAAAGCTTTGCTTGGGTTCCAGAGCCTAAAAAGGCTTCTGGAAGGGGGCTGTGGGTCTGGAAGGTAGCTTTCCCTCCCTCATCTCGGTGCAGTGATCCAGGCTGTGGGGGAGAAGGGTTTTCCAGGACTGGGTCCAGACCTACAGGGCACCAGGGGGGCTCTCTGGGAAGAGTCCCAGGTATGTGGGGTAAGGGAGCCTGGGTGAGGAGCTGCAGATGGGAAGGGGAGGTGAGCTCTGCTGGGCACCCAGCGCTGGGAGGGTGGCTTGCAAGGAGAGGAGAGCTGTGTGTTGGTGTGCAGCTCCTACCTGACAGGTGTCGATGCCGCCCTGCGGGTAACCAGCACACACATTATGGCTATGGACGGCCCCAGCATACCAGTGGCTGCTGTTGCAGAGGTTGAGGTCAATGAGCTGCACCTTGGCCTCCTGCAGGACACGGTATGGTTCAACGTATTCCTGTAGAGCTGTGAGCACAGAGCAGAATTGGCACCATCAGCTCCTTGCCGATATCCTGCTTGTGGGTGAAGCCCTTCCCTACATCATGACTTTGTGTCTCGAGATGCACCAACATTTCCCTGCTTTGGGAAATGGGTCAGACCCACCCCTCTCTCTGGATACATCCCTATGGTGTCACTGGGTTTCTACTTGCCATCAAAGATGCTGTTTCAACAGCATGCCACACTTTCACTTGGGACACCCATGCATTTCGTGTACTCACATCTCAGCCCCATGTGTCCCCAGCCACTGATGTAGCAGTCTGTGAGCTCTGAGACTTGCAGCGAGGCATCGGGCACGCAGGCCAGCTGGATGTAGTAGCTGCAGTGGACGGGTTGGTCCAATTCAAGCAGTGCAATGTCGTTAGCGAAGTTGTTTTTGTCATAGTATTCATGTGGGATTATCCGCACCACGTTGCGCACAACAGCTTCGGGGCCCAGGCGTTTCAGATCGTGGCCCCCGATCACCACGTGCCACGGTGTGTCAGGGCTGGAAGAAGGGCAGAGAAGGGGTCAGAAGAAAGGTGGCAACATCACAATCACGGAATGGCCCAGGTTGGAAGGGGCCTCAAGGATCACAAAGCTCCAAATCTCCGCCACACGCAGGGCCACCAATCTCCACATTTCATAGCAGCCCAGGCTGCCCAGGGTCCCATCCAACCTGACCTTGAACACCTCCAGGGATGGACGGGGCATCCACAGCCTCTCTGGGCAGCTGTTCCAGCACCTCACCACTCTCACAGCAAAGAACTTCCCCCTGACATCCAACCTCAATCTTCCCTCCCTCAACTTAAAACCATTTCCCCAGTTCCCTGCTACCCCTACTATGCAGGAGGGAGGAAAGCTGTCCTACAAGGGCTGTGACATCCCCGGTGTGCCTTTGGCATGAGGATTACTGAGCTAAGGGCTGCTGGAAGCTGTGGCATACACCACCAGGAAGGCACCCAGGAGCACCCACACTGTCCGTACTGCAGGGAAGAGGACAGCCCTTACGTTGCATGGTCGAAGCAGTGCGCTGCCGTGAGGACCCACTGCGGGGTGATGAGAGATCCTCCACAGATGTGTCCAGTGCCCACATACCACGTACTCTGAAGGCTCACAATCCACGGCCAGGCCCCCTGTGGGGCATCCTTGCCGCCCACGACGCGCGTTCCCCCATAGTGATAAGCCATGGGCCGGAACCCGCAGGTGCTGCAAGCAGAAACGCGTCAGTTTTTTGCATCTGAACCGCCGTCCCTCCCCACGGGGCACCGCACCGCCGGGCCACTCACTCGCAGCTGCCGGAGAAGCCGTGCCCGGGCCGGCAGGCGGCCAGCAGCACCACGAGGGGCAGCAGCAGCAGCATCGCTCCCGGAGGCGCACGGCAGCCCATCGCGCCCGGCTTCGTTGCCACCGACGCGGTGTGTGTCCGTTGCCCAACGGCGCTGATGTCACAGAACCGTCGGTTCCGAGGGCTGTGCCACCGTGCGGGGCTGCGGGGGGGAGTCCGGGCAGGAGCTGGATGGGACCCCCAGCTGCTCTCCGCTTTAGCATCGCCCTACGGCTTGTACGGATGGATGCGGAGCCGCACAGCTGAGTGTGAAAACCGGTTTTGTGAATGACAGCAGCACAAATTTCAGCCTCTGTCCCAAAGAGAAACAGCTGCTCTTAAGGCCCTCGAGGCACCACACGCTGCAGAAGCGGCTCTCAAACAAACCTCGCTGTGGTTTTGCACGCTGTCCTGAAGGCGGTGCCCCAAACCTGCTTAGGGTGCACAGAATGCCTCAGGGGGCAGTTTGTCTTCTGTGGGTACTCAGCTGTCCCATTAGCGGTGTTCTCCGGGAGGTAAAGGGGAGTGGTGCGACTGATGAATGGCTCCACGTGTGTCTGATGGAAGGATAAGTGTCTTTATGGAGACAGGATTGCAGCAGGGCCAGCAGCACTGAGGAAACTCAGTCATGGCCCTGAAGCACATGATGCCCTCAGCTCACAGCACCTGAAACACCAAATCTGTGCTCCAGTGCAGCAAAATCCGGGAGCAATGGGGAAAAATTAATTGGGGAGGGAAATTGCTTATTTGGGAGGAGCCAAGGAAGATGAATAAGTATTGAAAACAAAGAAAGGGGGCAACATGGAGGCTAATACAGAAATCACGTATGATGCAAACTGCACGTTGGTTTGGTTGTTTTATTGAGCTCTGCATCCAATCACTGTAATCCACCTTAATATTTTTATTAAGAATTATTCTAAACAGAACTCCAGAGCTGTGGGGCTGGAAGGGACCTCTGGAGTCCTCCAGTCCAACCTCAGGCATGACTGACCATCCCCAGCCCCTGCCCATAGATATCCAGCAGCACTGCTCAGATCCCCCCTCAGTGTTCCCTTTCCCAGGTGCACAGCCCCAGTATTCCCAGTCTGTCCCCATCAGGAGGAGCTCCAGGCCCAACCCACCAGTTGGAAACCCCAAATGCCAAGGATCACCTACTGGTGGGATTGCTGTGCACATGATTGCTAATGAATGCCAATTAGCTCATGAGCAAGAGACCATTTTTGTCTCGTGGATGTAAAGTGAGCACAGCCCACCCGACCACAGGCAGCTCCAGCATCCACAGACATTACAGAAGGATCAGGCCAGCCACATCTCCACCCTATTTAGAAGGATAGGGAACTTGTGACAAGGGGGACAAGGGGAAATGGCCTCAAATTGTGCCAGGAGAGGTTGAGGTTGGATCTCAGGAAAAACTTCTTTACAGAAAGGGTTGTTAAGCACTGGAATGGGCTGCCCAGGGAGGTGGTTGAGTCACCAGCCCTGGATGTGTTTAAAAACCCTTTGAATGTGGTGCTCAGGGTCATGATTTAGCAGAGGGCTGTTAGAGTTGGGGTAGGATGGTTGGGTTGTGGTTAGACTTGATGATCTTTAAGGTCTTTTCCAACATGAGCAGTTCTGTGATTGATTGGCACGTCCTCTCTGCACTAGCTGTATAAAGCTTCATCCCTGAAGCTGTCAGGACCATCCAGCCCATCCTGCTCTTCGCTGTGTTCTTATCCCCTGGACAGTGATGCTGTAGCTCACAACTGTTCCCACAAGGATTGCACAGCACACCGCTGAGTTGGGATCTCTATACACCAGGGCACCCCCTGTGCTTCATCTTAACTGTAGTTTGAACGGAGCTGTGCTGGCTCAGCTGATGATTTTGTGCCCTGGTCCCTCAGAGTTTCTGTTAACAGATAACAGCTTGGAGGTCCAACAATGACCTGCACATCCAGCAGGGCTGGTGGCCTCCTCAGCCCTCAGCTCACTGGCCCAGCACTCCCTTGGTCAGTAGCTTCACTGAGCTGAAGCTCTGGGGTAGCTCTGAGGCTACATTGGTTAGTCGGGGGGGGGGTCCTGGTGGGTTTAGGATCAGCAGAGGGGGGTGGAGCAGCAAAAGGCTATGAGCAACAGCAGCAGGAGGGCTTGGGAGTGCAGTCTGGCTTGCAGCAGGGTTCCAGGGCAGGATCCCCGCCCTTCCTCATCTGGCTTTCCCCAAACTCCATGCGTTGCTCAAAAAGTGTCTTCTGCAATTTGATGTCCTTCAGGATTTGCCAAACTTCTGGCCCTGCAGTGCTCTGCACCAAATTGTAGTTCTCAGCAGGGTCTGACTCCAGGTCAAAGAGCAGTGGGGGCTCATGATGGGTCAGCGGGGTCAGCCCATGGCAGGCCTGGTCTGGGGTTGTATCACTGTGAAAGGAACCTGCAAAAGAAATGTCCAAGAGCAGTTCAGCTGCTACTCTGAGCTTGGGACAGCAGAACCAGGCAGGACTTCACAAAGCTGCCTGAGCAGAGAGGAGGTGTCACCAACCTTGTGTAAAGTAGTGGGCCTTGTACTTCCCAAGCCGGACAGCAAAGGGGCCAAGCAGTGGATCAGGGGATGGTGGGTAGAAGAACATGGTCTGACGGGGACTCTGTGGAGAGCAGCAGAGCTGAGCTCATTTGTGTGGCCATAAGGCTGGAAAAGAGCCTGGGACAGGACCAGGCAGAGTCTCCAGGGACTCAGAAAAGAGCCCTGATACTATAGCCAGGATATGACTAGAAAAGGGGGAAGCTAATGAGCAGGAGCATCGTGCTTGTTCCCCACTCAAAGCTCCTGGGCCCCAGAGCACACAGGGAAAGGCCAGTATGCCCATTGCATGGCCCAGACCCCACAGAAGATCCCAGGTCATGGGTCTGCCCTGATCTCTAGCTGGGGCTAATGAGTAGGCCCCACACCCAGCCTCCATGTACCACACCAGATTTGACCTGCAGGACTCACCTTCCCTGACTCAAACAGCAGCGGACTCAGGTCATAACCATCCAGGGAAACATTGGGAAGAGCTGCTCCAGCCAGGGCAGTCAGTGTTGGCAGGATGTCCAAGGTGCTTGCCAGCTCATGAGTCACTCCTGCCACCCAACACAGCAAGACACAAAGAAAGGTTCAAGTGTCCAACCCCACTTCCATACCTGCCATCCTCACCACTTCCCTTTCTCTGATCATCTCAGGGCAGCTGAGTCACCATCACCCCCCTGCCTTGCCTTGTGCCAGCATACAGAAGGCATAAGAAGTGCTGAGTCTCACCTGGAGTGATACGGCCTGGCCAATAGGCCACTGCTGGTTCCCGCATGCCACCTTCATACGTTGTGCCCTTCCCACATTTCAGAAGGCCAGAGCTGCCTCCGCGTGCCATGCGCATGGTAGAAGGGCTGTGAGAGAGAAGAGCCACCTACCATCAGCTTCACAAGTCTCCATAACCCCTTCCCTGACTCCCACAGGGGCTGTGGAAAGAGACAGTGAATAGCACCAGTGACCCAAAGCACCCATACACAAAGGGAACTCGCAGATCTTTAGGCTGCACAGTCCTACCCCCGAGCCAGTGGACACTCTGCCCAGGAGGGGAACAGCCGATTCACTGGAGCAAGGAGGAGATCATGCAATAAATGCTCTCCTTAACAGTGCCCACCTTCTGCCTTACTTCAGGTCACTACAATCTCACCTGGCACTGCTGCACCACATCTCTTATGCCCCAGCCAACTAAAACCTTGCTCCAGTTCCCCCACACCACAGCAGTACAACCTTATCAGTGGGAGAAGCCCACCCAGCTGAGCCCACTCACCCGTTGTCAGAGGTGAAAAAGACAAAGGTTGTGTTCTCCAGACCATTCTCCTGCAGTGCCTGCAGCAGCTGTCCCACTGAGCCATCAAACTCCGAAAGTGCATCACCAAAGGGCCCACGCTCTGACCGTCCTGCATAGTCCTGGCTTGCAAACTGGGGATGGTGGGTATGCTGGAAAAAAGGCAGAGAGAGAGAGAGGCTTTGTGAACTCCTAGAGTTGCATTTGGTTCTCAGCTCACCTAGAGAGAGTGAGAACCCCAGCGAGGGCATGGAGATATGTGACAATGCCCACAACAGGGGGGAACTGCTCCCAGAAACACCTCCCGAAACAACACAAAAAGGCTGGGCTTCATGCAGAACATGCAGACTCGATGGGTGGTAGAGCCCCAGATGGGTTGCAGGCCCACGGAAATAGCCAGAAAGAAGCCACTCAAGATTAACAATTCTAATAGTGAGGTCACAAACCCTAGGCATGGGAACATCAACCTGATCATGTTGGGGCAGGGAGTTCTTCCATCCTTCATCCAAGTATTGACTGCTCAGCACACTCCAATGGCTGCAGGAACTGAGGTGCTTTCTGGAATCTCCAGTAAGCACAAAGGCTTCCCCCCACCCTCAGACCTGGAGAAGTCTTCTCTCTCTTACATGGGAGGCATAGTAGAGCAGGAAGGGCACACCTCGCCGGGCGCAGTCGGCAATGAAGTCCCGTGCAAATTTGTTGTAGATAGGCACCAGATCAGGGAATGAGACCGGCTGCTGCACGATGCTTTGGTTCCAGAACAGTGGGACGGGCACGAGGCCCTGGTCACAGGTCCCAAAACACTTGATGTCGGGTGGGAAGCAGGTGAGATTCTGACAGGGGCCCTGGAGAGAGCACACAACACGGTCTTCCAGCTGTGTTGCCGGACAGTAAGTTGAGGGGGGGTAGAAGACTTACAGCAGCCCACCCTCACGTCCTACAGGAGTCCCTCATAGAAAACCAGGGGGGTTTATGCCCACCCCAGAACCATGCTATGTTTTTTCCTAACAGCAGTTCAGATGTTTCTTTGCAACCCAGAAGCTGACTTTCCCTCCTGCCCACCCACTGAGGGGTGCAGGTCCCCACAAACAACTGCTGCCCACATTCTGCAAAACACTTTTCCCACCAGCACCCATTTTCTCCTCTGGCCTGCAGCCACCCACACCTGCACAGCCCCCCACCTCTGGGGCACTCCCCCACCTTCCCTCCTTCTCACCTGGTCGTGGGAGTACGGCACCCCCAGGAAGTGGTCAAAGCCCTGGTGGATGGGCAGGAAGGAGCCACAAGCGCCCAGGCCGAGGTGCCATTTGCCAATTATGGCTGTGGCATAACCTTTGGTCTTCAGCACCTCTGCAATGGTGACCTCAGACAGCGGAAGGCCTCCCCGGGAGCCAGGGTAAAACACACCAGGGTAAATCCCGGAGCGCATCTGGAAGCGGCCGGTCAGCAGGGCGGCCCTACAGGGGGGAAGGACAGCATTCACACGGTGCTGCATCAGCCAGGCTTTACCAGTGCAGCTGGGGAGGAATAACTGCAAGTAGTAACAGAGGTTAGGGGCTGAGCTATGGGAAAGAAGCTCGGTGGACAAGGACCTAAGGGTCCTGGTGGCCAACAGCTAATCAGTGCTAGACCATAAGGTGACCATAAGACAGCAGCATGCCCTGGGGGTGGCCCAGAAGGCCAATGGGAGCCTGGAGTGCACTGTACAGAGTGCTGCCAGCAGGGCAGGGACGTGCTCCTCCCCTCCTTTGTGCCCTGAGGGGGCACAGCTGGAGCACTGCAATCAGTGTGGGGCTCTCCAGTTCCAGGCAGAATGGGAACTGCTGGAGAGAGCCCCGGGGAGGATGCAGAGATGAGGGGAGGGCCTGGAGCACTTCCTGATGGGGACAGGCTGAGAGCCCCTGGGTTGCACACCTGGGGAATGGAACACCGAGGGAGGATCTGAGCAGTGCTGATGGATATCTGACGGGCAGTGATCAGGGAGATGGGGCTGGGCTCTGTTCAGTGGTGCCTAGTGACAGGACGAGGGGCAGCGGGCACAGAATGGAGCCCGGGGAGTTCCGTATGACCATGAGGGGAGAACTCTGTGCTGTGGGGGTGGCAGAGCCCTGGCACCGCTGCCCACAGAGGTGGGGGATCCCCTCTGCAGGGATCCAAACCCAGCTGGACGCTCTGTGTGCAGCTGCTGGGAGGGGGGGGGGGGGGGGGACTCCAGCGGTCCCTTCCAGCCCTACAGCTCCGGGGTTCTGCACCCGGCAGCCCACACCGCGGCTCCCTCACTCCCTGTTCCCGCTGCCACCCCCCTACCGCTGTCCCCAGGGCCGCGCTCGGAGCGCAGCCGAACCGCAGCTCTCCCCCACCGCGGGCCGCACCGGGAAGGGCTGCACACCGCAGAGCTGCTGTAGAAATCGGTGAAGCGAAGCCCTCGGGCCGCCATCCGGTCCAGATGGGGAGTGGCGGAGGAGGGGTGGCCGTAACTCCCCAGGTCTCCGAAGCCCAAATCATCCGCCAGCAGCAGCACGAAGTTGGGCAGGCCGCCGGCCGCACCCCGCAGCGCCCACAGCAGCAACACCGCCCGCAGCGGAACACCGCACCCCTCCGCCATGATACCGCGGCGGTCACCTGACCGAGTCATGTGACACTGGGAGTCACGTGACACGGCCCCGCCGCAGGGCTCGCCGCGAGGCGTAGTCCGCCGAGGAATAGCGCCACCCTGCGGTGGCCTCCTGCACCTTCAGCCCCGGCCCTGCGGGGAGCGAAGCGCATCCTGGAGGTCGGGGTGCTGCGGTCAGGATGAAGAAGAACCAATGCAAACAGCAGCACTTCTGTGGTGGGAGTTCCGCACCTGGGAATACGGCTGTGCCCACCTCTGAGAAAGTGCAGACAGCTCACGTGGCGGGCATTAAAGGATTGGGGGTCCGGTGTCCCCACCAGCAGCACTTTGTGTATCCAGGGTGGGGTTAAATGCAGAGCAGAGGTGGTGTGCGAGCACAGAGATGCTGCTGGTGGGACAGGATTAAACCTGCAGCAGGCAGAGGTGGGGACTTCCAGCCCAAGGACAAAAGCAGCTAAAAGCAGCCCAGGTTCTGGTCTGGAAGCTCCCATGTGGATGCACCGTGTTTTGGATTTGCCCCATGCCTCATCCTGTGCTTCCTAAAGGCCCCTGGGACGGGGGGCTGCTGGGGCTGCTGCTGCTGCTGTGCTTACCGCCATCAATTATTGAGGCAGAGCGAGGGGGCTGATGCCGCAGCGGGAGGCAAAACTGCTGCATAATTCATGTAGCCTACTTGGATCCCAGGGCATCACAATGCTGGGCCACAGTGCCTGGCCACAGCAGGGGATGGCAGCCAGGATGAACAGCTGGGGCTCTGGGAGGACACAATATGGGGACAGAGCTTCAAGGATCCCGCATGGAGCAGGAAAGGAGTGGGGCTGGGTGTGCTGTTGTATGGAGCCAAGCAGGGCACGGTGTGACTGCCCCAAGCTGCACCAGCAGGGCAGGGATAAGACGTGTCCACGTGGACAGGTCTGAAAAGGGACCCAAATGACAGCTGAGTGCTGTGGGATCCCACTTTGCCAGGTTCTGGTGAGAGCTGTGCCCATGTAAGTGGATCACAGGGGGTGCTCCCTCAACGGGTGTTTGAGTGCAGCCCCACGGGTACTGGGAACGTTGCACGCCTGCATGCACCACTTTGGGTACACGCTGGGTGTGCACACTGGCTGTGCGTGCACTGTGTTTGTGTGTATGTGTGCACTCTGTGCTGAGGATAACACTGTGAGCACTGTATTCTGTTCCAAGATGTGTGTTTCACAATTTGTGCATGCAGCTAGGTGTGCATTGCAGCTTCTGTGTGCACGCCAGGTCTGTCTCCACACTGCGTGCTTGCATACACGTGGAATGTGAGTACAGTGTGTGCATGTGCTCTGTGTGCATTGCACTGAGCTCACAGCATCCACCCCAGTTTCCTCCCACAGAGTTTCTCCTTTCATAACAGCTGGAGATGACCTGGGAGGACTCATTCCCAGAATGTTGCTCTCATTTCAGTCCAGTGGATGTGGCAGCTCCCGTTCCCCTGTGCCAGACTCTGTGTGTGCCAGGGAGCCAGGCCACACTCCAAACCATGCACACACACCTCATGGTTGTGAATGGCAAAACCAGTGAACAAAAAGCAATGCCTTTACCAGCACCCTCATGGTACAGAAAGCACAACCCCGTCCTTTGCTGCCTCTTCAGTTACTGGGAGTGCTGTTTGATGCACGCACAGCTCCCTCCTCCCTGAGCAGGCACCATTTCAGCCCTCATGGGCCACTCTCTCCTTTTTTTGTGGCCTGCAGTCTGCTTTGCAGTGCTGGGTATGGAAGCCTTTTCCTGGCACAGGAGATTGAACTGAGCAGAGACATGGGGAACTGTGAAAATAAGCTTTATTTATCCAACTGAGTAAACTTCAGTGTTTGTGTGCAGTCAGAGGAAGATGGATGGGACAGAGCAGGGCTTTGGCACTGGGGCTGCCATTGGGCATTATCCCAAAGAAAAGGGTCATGGTGCATTGCAGCCTGCTCTGGGTCATGCAGCTAATTAAGCCTTGTTTCCCCCTAGGGTCTGCAGGAGGTTCTGCACCCCAGTAAAGAAATTCCTAAGTTTCTGGACTGGATATGGACAGGAGTCTGACACGCTCGGTTGTGTTGGCACTGCATTTGGCACGTGATAATGGGATGAGGTGGCCATGAAATGACTCCATGTCCGTGACGTTGGGTGGGCTGTTGCTCTCATCTGTAGCAGGATCCAGTTGTAAAAGTGCTGAGTGGAGGTGTAGATCCCAGGGCGAAACGCTCTGCCGCAGCCTTTCCCCCAGCTGGTCACACCAACCAGCCAGAAATAGTCAGCATGGTTGTCTCTGCACATCAGAGGGCCGCCGCTATCGCCCTGCAGTGGGGGAGAGAAACCCAAAGTATTACTGGGGGGTGGCTTGCAAGCAGAGCAGGGCTGTGTGTTGGTGTGCAGCTCCTACCTGGCAGGTGTCGATGCCGCCCTGCGGGTAACCAGCACACACATTGTGGGTATGGAGCACCCCAGCATACCAGTGGCTGCTGTTGCAGAGGTTGAGGTCGAGGAGCTGCACCTTGGCCTCCTGCAGGACCTCGGCGGTTTGGGTAGGTGCTGCAGCTGTGAGCACAGAGCAGAATTGGCACCGTCACCTCCTTGCCTGTTTGTGGGTGAACCCCTTCCCGAAGTCTTGGCTTTGTGTTTCCAAATGGGTCAGCCCCATCCCTCTCTATGGATGCATCCCCACGGTGTCACCCTGGGTTTCGCTTTAAGCTTTAAACACTTGGGACACCCGTGCGTTTTGGGTACTCACATCTCATCCCCATGTGTCCCCAGCCACTGACGTAGCAGTCTGTGAGCTCTGACACTCGCAGCGAGGGGTCAGGCACGCAGGCCAGCTGGATGTAGTAGCTGCAGTGGACGGGTCGATCCAACTCGAGCAGTGCGATGTCGTTGATCATTGTCTTATTGTTAAAGTATTCATGAAGGATCGCCCTCCTGATGGTGTGCACCTCCACCTCCTGGCCCAGGTGAGTCAAATCGTTGGCACCAATCACCACACGGGACTCCAGGATGTAGCTGAGATAGACAGGGAGGTGAGGAGGAGCAGAACCGTGGGGAAAAGAGGAGGGCAGTGTTATGGGGGCTGTGAAGTGGCTGGTGTGCCTTGGGCACACACCTGGCCTTGGGACCTGCAGTGCCAAGCTGGCAGAAAGGCAGGGAAGGGGACAGCTCTTACTTGGGGCGGCCGAAGCAGTGCGCTGCCGAGAGCACCCACTGCGGGGTGATGAGGGATCCTCCACACATGTGTCCCGTGCCTGAAAACCGGGGGTTCTGGATGCTCACAATCCACGGCCAGGACCCGTGCAGGGCTTCTGTGCCGCCCACAATGCGCATGTTGTTGTAGTGATAAGCTATGGGCCGGAGCCCGCAGGTGCTGCAAGCAGAAACGTGTCAGTTTTTTTTCATCTGAACCGCCGTCCCTCCCCACGGGGCACCGCACCGCCGGGCCACTCACTCGCAGCTGCCGGAGAAGCCGTGCCCGGGCCGGCAGGCGGCCAGCAGCACCACGAGGGGCAGCAGCAGCAGCATCGCTCCCGGAGGTGCACGGCAGCCCATCGCGCCCGGCTTCGTTGCCACCGACGCGGTGTGTGTCCGTTGCCCAACGGCGCTGATGTCACAGAACCGTCGGTTCCGAGGGCTGTGCCACCGTGCGGGGCTGCGCGGGGGGGTCCGGGCAGGAGCTACTGGTGGGGGGAGGGGGGACCCTACTGCGAGCTGGAGGAACACACGTGGCTTTGGGGCGTGTTTGGGTGATGGAGCACAGCTGTGACATGAGCAGCGATGTGCAAAGGCATGGCAAGTCCCCAAGTGTCTGTGCTGGGGTGCACGGCTGTGTCACTGTGCCTGTTTGTGCTCTGAGTGTGCCCACAGCGGCTGTGCATGCAGGCAGGGGTTGGGAGTGCTCTGCATCTCCGTGCACACATTGTGGATGTGCACCCCACGCAACTGCAGTGGGACACAGAATCACAGAATGACAGAATGGCCAGGGTTGGAAGGGACCTCAAGGATCATGAAGCTCCAACCCCCCACCACATGCAGGGCCACCAACTTCCACATTTCACAGCAGCCCAGGCTGCCCAGGACCCCATCCAACCTGGCCTTGAACACCTCCAGGGATGGACGGGGCACCCACAGCCTCTCTGGGCAGCTGTTCCAGCACCTCACCACACTCACAGCAAACAACTTCCCCCTCACATCCAACTGAAATCTGCCCTCATTCAGCTTCAAACCATTTCCCCTTGTCCTGCTGTTATCTCCCCTTTCCAAGAGCTGACTCCCCTCCTGTTTGTAGGCTCCTTTTAGGTCCTGGAAGGCTGCAGCCTTCTTTTCTCCAGGCTGAACAAGCCCAGCTCCCTCAGCCTGTCTTTGTAGGGCAGGTGCTGCAGCCCCCTGATCATCTTTGTGGCTCCTCTGGACCCTCTACAACAGCTCTCTGTTTCTTGTATTGGGATACCCAGACCTGGACACAGTGTTGCAGATGGGGCCTCACAAGAGCAGAGGGGGACAATCACCTCCCTGTCCCTGCACAGGGACACAGGTAGGCTGTGCAGGTGCACACTGAGCATATACACTCGTGTGCATGCAGTGTGTGTGTATGGTGCACTCATGACTTCCACACTGCTCATGATGTACTTTGTGCAAGTAACTCTGAGTCGGTGCTCCAGCATGTGCACCCGTGTGCAACACATTTGTGAGCGTTGGTGTGCAGAACATGTGCATGTTTTCAGGCTGTGTGTGTTGCTGTGCACTGTGTTGGGGTGCACTCTGTTGGGTTCACTCAGTGTCTTGCTGTGCAGGCAGTGTGTGTTGGTGTGCACTCAGCGTTGTGCAAAGCATTTGGCACTGTCCCACAGAACATCTTGGCTACCAAATTGGAGAAAAATGGATGTGATGGATGGAACACTGGCTGGGTATGGCCTTGGCTGCTTGGCTGCACTCAGAGAACTGCAGTCTATGGCTCTATGCCCACTGGAGGCCAATGAGAGCAGCGTTCCTCAGAGATCAGTGCT